ATTTGCAATAAATTTGTTAAAGTAATTATATTTTTATTCCTATAAAAATATATATATATCTATCTATTCCAAATGTTGTTAAAGTATTACAGCATCTCTTTCATCTGAAATGCATCGGTGAGTTCTGTCTTTACAATGCACTATTTATGAAAGGCAGAATGTATTCTGAAATTAATGTGTTTGAAAATGTTATGTAAATATGTTTGTGTATTTGGGGAAAATGAAAAATACTGTGTCGTTTTCAAAGTGAAAATATGGTAAGTAAATTGGGTGCATCTGAGTAGTAAAAGGGCTTTATTTCCTTTCTGCTTGATGATCGTTTCCTTAACCCTTCCAGGGTGAGGTGTTAAAAGATTTCTTGCACTTAGGGGCATAATCTGTGCTAAAGGTATATGCCCTCCTGATTGGAGCATCATTTTCAATTCTCAGAAGGACACATAAATACTCGTTGGAGATACTTTTCTGTGCAATGTTCAACTTTAAAACTGGGGGGTGGGTTGTGGGGCAGGTGCCTTTTTGTTCAGGCCAGCAAATGTAATGGTACTTTTGAACTGACAAGATCCTCTTTGGAGGAGCTGCATCATGAAATGTGTGATGCACTTTAAACTTTTAGTAGATTTGGTATAGTTAGCAGTCTGTTGTCTTAGCCACCCTTCAGAACTATGGTCTTTCCTGTTATCTATACAATTTCACATCTGCTATGTTTATCTGTAGTACTAAAGCTAGCTGTATAACGTAAATCATTAAGTCGCAATTCCAAAAGTTCCTTAGCCTTTAAATATAATAAACTTCTAAGATAAGTTAATTTGTTTTCACTATAAAATAGATCAAGGTGTCCAGAGTTACCATAGATTTTTTTTTTTCTTAATTCTAACATACATTTATTGTACAGGGGGCATAGAAACTAAAACTGAAAGCATGTTCTATCACTGTGAAAGATTTGAATTCTAGCATTCAGTGAAGTATTAAACGAACTAACCATTTGATACTGTCTTGCGTATGTGTCACTACAGTGTATCTTAGGGTATAATGCTATGTACCAGATTATCGGTGTTTTTACCGTACTTGCAAAAGGGAGGTGATTGCTGCGCAGGGCTTTAGACACTAGTCCAGAATATACTTAACTCAGAGGAAATCAATCCTTTTTGACCAAATTTGAGCAAAAGGGAAAGACATCTAGGTGCTTGCATTTAGGGCTTAACTATATTTACTGCTGAACACATGTATAATTGAAATACTTAGAATGCTATTCTACAACTTAGATCTTGGGCTAATGACCAAGAATAGCTTTAAAATAAAACACAAAATATAATTCTATGTAAGAAAACTATAGAGTGATTTTAAATGTATTTCAGTAAATCAAACTCCACAGCTAAACAAATATAATGGTACAAATAAGTGTTGGGATTTAATAATTATAGCACATAATCTGCATTTAACCATATGATAACGCGTAATTCACAGATGTAAATAAGTGTCTTATTTTGTTGTTTTCTGACATTGTGATTTTGTTTTGTTTACAGTCCTGGAAAAATAAAACTGTGGACAGAAACCTATTATGCAAATAGTCTGCCAAAATCCCAGTGTACTTCTGTTTAGCTGTAGCTGGTGTTTAATGACATAAAGGACAAGGCTTTACATGGGCAGTGCAAAATCATACATCTAAATGCATGGAGACCTCTCGGCACAGCTCATGTGGGGGGAAAACAAACTGGAGAAAAGGAAAATTGGTGCTCCTAGAAACCTTTCGAATCCAAGCTTCTATTTTCTAGCCTGAACTAGAAAGTAGCAGCTTATCTGGATTCTATGGACAACATCTCCTCTTTACCTTTATTCCAGCTTTTGATATGTGAGCTGCGGTGTGGAACAAAGTCTATTTAAAATAAAGTAACCAAATTGGAGAAGTGTTGCTAACAGACTGTTGGACTTCAATATCTACATCAGAGATGTTAGAAACATAGTTTCTATAATGTGCTTTTATTTTTTTGTATTCATTTTGGTAAAACAAAAGACAACCATATCTGCCTGTCAAAGAATTACAGATGTAGCCTGTTGTTCTTCAGCTGCAGCAGTTTTATTAAACCGTCTTTCTTTCCTGCCATGTTTTGACAGAGGATCCAATTAGCTAAGGAAACACAGGTTTATTGGTATTTTCTGTTATTTCTGTTAAGGTGGTCATCTTGGGTTACTTTCCAGTGAAGGTGAGGAAGCTTTATTTTTTTTTTAAAAGAATAAACGTAGTAGAAATAATTTGTTATTGCCCTCAAAGCACACTTATAGTCAAATAAGATACTAATTTAGCCTTACTTAAGACGCATTTTCTCTGCATTTAATCAAGAGCATCCAACACAGTGAGGGGAATTTATCAAAAACTGGAGCAGACAAAATCTGGAGCAGGTGTGCATGGTAACCAATCAGCTTCTTTCTTCAGTTTATTCAGTTAAGATTTGAAAACAAAGGAGAAGCTGATTGGTTGCCATGCACAGCTGCTCCAGATTTTTTCTGCTCCAGTTTTGATAAATTCCCCTCAGTGTGTTTTTCAGACAAGGTCTTGACTGCGGCTACTGAGAGATCCATTTCTATGGCACTTTCAGTCATAGAAAACCAATAGAAAGCTACAATCTGAATGCTGTGGATAGTGTGTGAGCTGGGTCACTGTGTCGCAAAACACTGGCCCCCATTTCAGAGTGTGAACTAAGGTTCTTGAACTGGCCTAAATTCTCAGTGTGCTGCTGTCGGCACTCTTTTGGCCAGCATCCCTCAATCAGCTGATCGAAGGAGCCAATAGAAAATCTTTGTACGAACAGAACTGGCATCCAATGAGCTGCCGGCTCTGTTTGGATATTCTAACAGCGGCCGCTGTCAGAATACAAAAGAAGCAGCGGGGATTCCTCAATCAACGCGCTTGTGGTGTTGGATAAATCAGCTAGAGGGTTGAATGAACAAAACAGTAGTGTATGGCCTGCTTAAGCCATTTGGCTAAGTACACACTAGACCTGGCGTTGGCAGAGGTCAGAGCTGTTTGCAAAGGGCCCAAAAAGCCGCAATGTAAATTAGTCCACAGATATGAACGGCAATACAGTTAAAAAAATGCATATTTACATTTTCCTGCTGAAGCTACTGGTATAGATAGCAGGGATGTCCTTGTGACCAAAATCCTAGGGCATGTGATCTCTATTGAAGGCAAAGGGCAGAGCTACTGACTGGCTGCCTACTCATTCAGTCTTGTAAGCATTGCCAACATTGTTAAATTACCTGTGTCAATCAAGGTTTTTTATGACTTCTGTAACCTTTTATGACTTTAAAGGAGCAGGGTAGTAAGGGTGGTTTTATTTGATTATAGGCCAATTCTTAAAATTTGTGATAAGACAGTGTGCTTAGAAATTACCCTTCCTGTCTTCCCCTAAAAGGGGAATACTAGTAATTAACACCCGATGTCCTAATATTGTATAGAATTTTATCATTCCCATTCTACCAAAACAAGATGTTAAGTACTAGAAGTAGATTTCTTAAGTTAAATAGTTCTGTGTACCGTTTCTGTTACAAAGCTTTTTGCACTTGCTTGCCTATTTAGTTATATATATATATACAACAACGTAAGTATCATTTCGACTTGGGTTTAGGTATAAAATATGTCTCTAAATGATGCCTTTTCCTAAACCATTCTTACATATATTGTTCCTGTGGTCCTTTGTTGCCTTTTCGAAGAGACCAAGGAATCTCGCATTGACTTAAGAGTGAAATTGACTACATGACAAAGAAGTAGCAACAGACCTTTTAAAATGCTTTCTAAGAGAAATGTAAAAAGGATACAGTTTAAGCAGGTGTTTAAATATGCTCAAGTTCTATCATTTGTAAATCCCTGCCAAGTTTATATTATTATTATACAGGATTTATATAGCGCCAACAGTTTGCGCAGTGCTTTTACAATATAAGGAAGACATTACAATCACAATACAAATCAAGACAAGATGGTAAGGAGGGCCTTATATCACCATGTCATTTAAATGAAAAAAAAGAATGATGCTGTGTTCTACAAACTCTCACTGTGTATTATATATTATTTCCTTTTGGGCCATACAGTTTCAGCTGTTCCTTTACTCACTATCCTGTTAATATTGTAAGCAAGTGTATGCCAGCAGGAATAAAACTGCCACCGCCAGCCAAACTGGCACCTAGATACAGTTAGCAGATATGATTTATCATAACTGTTTTCTCCCCAATGTTCCCTCATGTATGTACATCCCCTTTTTTGAAGTAAAATGTAAATTCAACCTGCTATCCTGTGTCTTTTGTAGTTATTACCATTCATGGCAATCTACTGTGATATGTTATGAATACCTATCTAATATCCAGTGGCAACATTTTATCACCAGAATTCCCATTTCTGCCTGACTGCCACAGCCGGTACGTTTTGATGTCACACTTCTTGATTGATTCTCTAAAATGCAGACCTAAAAATGGAAGTCCAGCTGCCAGAATGACACATTTTGTTCTGGCCTTTTGGGAGAATGATTACACCTATTCAATACTTAACTTACCGCATACTCTGAAAATCTCTGACAGACATGAAGTAGTCAAAGCTCACCTGTTCAATAATAATGTTGACAAAACTGTCAATGCAATATTTTGCAGCACACAGAGCAAGACCAGTGCATGTGGACTTTGTCTTGTTGATCTTAGATCGGTCACCACCAGGAAGTTGTCAATAACATTAGATGATCTGAGTGGACTCTG